AGTTCACTTAATCAGGCTAAGAGGTCACAGACCACACTTCACTACTCAGCACCTAAGGTTGAGTTAATCAAGAGTCAAGATCTAGAAATCTCTTTGGTGTATGTCTGGCACAGGATCTCTGCCCCAAGTCCCCAGGAACGGTGTGACACGCTGTGCAGGGTACAGGCCTTTCCCTTTTTCTGTAGGCACCATCCCCATGGGGCAACCCCTCCTGCCCCTGCCCCACCCCCATCTGCCTCCCTTGCTATATAATCAAAACACTCCTGCTTTTGAAAATCACTTCACTACTCAGCACCTAAGGTTGAGTTAATCAAGAGTCAAGATCTAGAAATCTCTTTGGTGTATGTCTGGCACAGGATGCTTTGAACCAAATTCCCCCACAGCTGTAATTATGTGTTGGCCAATATTTGGATATGGAAGTGCTGTTGACACTGCTGTCAGTCTCCGAATGCCTCATCCCTGCTTTCTTCCTCTGTTATTAAGCTTTTCACAAAGATGTGTGGGAAATCTACAATTTAACAGTTGAGTCAACTTGTAAGATCTGGGAGCAGACTACCTGTCAAAACAGACTCTGACTTCAATCTTCACCCCTTCCTAACCCGAGAAGGATAAACGACGAGTGTTATTTAAAACACTGCTGGATTTTCCCTTTCTTTCAGAGCTATTCGAAGAGGGTCAATGTCCAAATCCCTCTCCTATTAATTACAACAGAAATCTTAATTGCCACCCAAAAGCACTTTAGAGGGTGGCTGTGTGTGCCCATTAAACAGAAAAAGGAGCAGAAATTGAGAGCTTTTGTTCTAAAGTCTCCATACAATATTCCAACTGTCCAAGAAAATGAGCAGCCAATGTCCCCAAACTGCTGATGGGGGGAAGGCAGATGGCATCTCAGAGAAGACAAAACTTTGCTGGAAAGAACCGTCTGTCACTTCCTCAATCGTACAGATTAAATGTGGTCAAACAGTATTCACTCAACTCAACTCCCCAAGGTCAGAGCCATGGTCAAACAACCCCTCCCCTCCCAGCCCCAGTTATGAGTATGGAAAGAGTGGTCTAAGGCACAAAAAGTATTCAAGTGTCCATGGTGCTGATATATTCCTTCTCACACCATCCAACTCTAAACAACGATCAGAAGCCCACACCACCACCTTAAAGTAGAAACCAAAGAAATCTTGACAGTGTTGAGCTTGTTGAAAGCTCTCCCCCAAAAAGGAGGATGAAAGGAGCAAGAACAAATAATTTATAGAGGCCTAAAATCTGGAAATTGGACATTCTTGCCCTCTCCAATCGTGAAGTACATCTAATTATATATTCCAACAGTCCCACCCTTAACACACACATATCTGAGTTTTGTATTAATAGCTGAAATGCAGCTAGCAGTGTGGGGGGGTGGGGGTGAGGAGGAAAAGATAAATATAACACAGGAAGTAATTTTCTCCTCCAATCATTAACACCCCCCAGGGGAAGTCGGGGTGATGTGTCACCTTAGAGATGCGGTTTGATATGAAAACCCTCTGAGCAGACCTTTTAAATGACTCTGAACACTGGCTCCCACTGCACTGGGACGACACTGGGGACTCATCCATCTCCCCAGACCTCCAAGTCCATTCTGGTTAACTTCTGAAGTAGGTATGCTCTCTGAAATCCCCATTTTCCTCCTACCACACCCCCTCAAAAAAGAAAAAAGAAAAGAAAGAGGTTGGGTTTCCCCAGGTCAAGGATAACGCTCCCTCCCACTGCCCACCAATGGCCCATGTCCAGGACTCGAGGGGCCACCTCCGATCCGATGTGCGGAATCGGTACGGGGCCAAGCGTGGTTTCCAAACCCGGTTTGCAAAGATCAATGACGCTATGGAAACAGCCGACGCCGCGCCGAGCCTGCTGGCCTCCCATCTGGAGCCTCCCAGGCGCGGAAGGTAGGGTAGGAGGGCGCCTGCTCTCCGATCAAAACAAACCCTCCTTCCGCGGGGGGCGGGGGTGGGCGGGCCAGGGGGGCGGGAGGTGGCCCCGCGGAATCCCCAGCCTCGCACGACCTCCCGGCCGGCGCGCGCCCAGGAGGCCCGGCCGCGCTCGCGAGGCCCAGGGAAATGAAATCACACATTCCGGCTCCCAAATAAGGAGCGAGGCTAAACAAACCTCCGAGCTCCGACTTCTCCAAACCAACCGACCAACCGGCTCAATGAGTAATGGGTCTTTTGTGCCCGCGGAAAGAAAGGAAGGAGGGAGGAGAGGATGGGGAACCGCAACCCCGGGAAATCACTTCCTCGAGGCGCGGTGAGAATTTAGCAGAAGTGGTCCCGACGCCAACCGTTCGGCCCCGGCTGGATCCCGCTCCAACCCCAAAATGGCAGAGTCCCCGGGAGTCCCCTCGAAATCCCCCTTGCCCGCTCGCACCCCCGAGTGACCGGAAAAACGCGGGGCCCGGGCAGCCGGGTCGGCTTCATCCAAACCTTGACCTTTCCCGC